GTCGAGGAGGGAGCGCCAGCGGGCGGCCTCTTGGCGAATGATCTGGTAGACCTCTTCGCTCCACAGCCGCATCTGACCGCGCAGCTCTGGAACCACCTCTGCAGGAGGAGGTTGGGAGCCGCCGCTGAAGTTGGAGGGGTTCTCATGAACTTGTTGGGGGGGCCGAATGCACGGGTGTGAGGTGGGAAAGTGGGGAGTGGCCGCTGTGAACGGGCTGAGGGCGGCGCCATGCCCCTGCAGACGGACATCAGCACAGCCCCGGAGGGGCATCCTGCTGGCATGCCAAGCGCTGCTGGCGCACTGGCGCATGCGCGAGCGCGCACTCGCCCCGCGGTCTCACCCGCCCTCCAGCGGTTGAAGCGTGCAAACCGCGGGTCGCTGTTGCGCGCGGTGGCGAGGCCTGCAAGTTCCAGGGCGGTGGCGGTCGCCGCATTGGGGTTTTGTAGGGCAGGGCCAGGGGGGATGCACACCACCTATGTTCTACCCGCAGCCGCGCTGCCCGGAAGCGCGTCCGCTCCTCGAGCGCCGCAGGGTGCGGCACTCAGGCGTGCTCATCGTCGCAACAAGTCTTGCAACGTCGCTGCAGCCGTCCCGGCGGCCGGCGGCCTCCCCTTTGTCTCGCGGGACAACAGCACCGCGCGTGCCCCGAAAACCAGAGCCCACCCGGGGTCCCTCCAAAAGCAAGGCCCGCCAAGTCAACTGCGCCTGAACCCGCCATCCCGCCCTGCATATCTTGCGTCTGGCCACCCACCCAGCTGCTGGTCGTGCTCCGCGCGCAGCATCTCCTGTGAGAGCACGTCATACGCGCGCCGCACCGCGAGGAACGCCTCCACGCCGCCGCCGCCGCCGGCGTCCGGGTGCGTCGCCTTCGCCAGCTCGCGGTACCGCGCCTTGACCGCCTCGGCGGGCGCGTCGGGGGGCAGCCCGAGCACTTCGTAGTGATTCACAGGCGCGGCGCGCGGCGGCGGCGCCGCGGCGCGGCGCGGCGCGGGGGAGCGGACGCGTCCGGCAGCGCAGCCCGCAGTGCACTTGGCGCCTGGGTGTTTGCCGCCCCACGCACGCGGCCGCCCTGATCGATTGCTGAAGATCATTGCAATATCGCGATTGTTTACGGTCGATCGTGCCACTGCAGAGCTCGGAGATCTCCAACGGTCCAGCGGCGCATCGAACGAAGCGTGAAACGCTTTTTGGTTGCGTGTACGCCTCGTATTTGGCGGAGCCACGCCCTTGAGGACGCGGGAGTGACGGCGACGGTTGCGGTGAAGCTGCCGTGTCAGTTGCTTGCTTTTCCCCCCGCACCCCCTTCCGTACAGGCGGCCGAGTAGGACGCACCCGCCCTAATGTTCCTTCATCCCTCGAACCAGGTTTCGTTCTTGGTCTGCCTTGCAGCAGCGAATAGCCGCACGGCCCGACCGGTTGCAAAAGGCAACATCAAACCAGTGGTATGGCTCTTTGCAACTAGGTTGGCATGCTGGCCGGCGCGAAAAAAAACTAAAAAAACCGAAAAAAACTATGAAGGCCAGTTGAGGTTGCGGGGCTCTGTGCTTTGGGTGGATTGTGCTGTGCTGACGCAGCCCTACCGGCCCCTAGGTGATTGGGCCTCCCTTGCAGTGGAGCAGTCGTTGGTAGACCGCCCACCTATGCAGCCCCTGCAGGGGCGTGTATGCAAGCGAGTGCTGTGCAGGCATTTCATGGATGCGCGGCATGCCAGGCGTGTTGCTACAGGGTTGCATGCATGGTTCCATTCTGCGTACCACGTGTGCGAGTGGGCGACAGCCCTGAGGGCGTGCGTGGGTTGGATATCACCATTCCACACGTCCGCCGCGCCGGCCTTCACCCCCGCTGATGTGTATGTCACGCTCAGCCGCGCCACCACGCGCGCTGTACATATCGCAAGCAGATGCCAGCTGGCTTCTCACGCAAGTGCATGAGGCCGTTTTCGCCGCCAATGCGGCCGCCGCGCAGGCTGCACGCCCCTGACATTAGTGCATCGCCTCCTGATCCTTGTGTGCCGAGCGCAGCGCTCAGAGCATCGGGGCATCATGCAACCCCCTCAAGCACCTGCCTGCTGGCAGCGCGAATACATGGCTAGGTGACGATGTACTGCACATGTGAACGCGGCGTGGCTGGTTTTGTTGTGCGGGCTCCCGCGCAGCATTGTGCAAAGCATTCAACAGTGTCACGTACAATGTGCAAAGCCAGACTTTGACAAGGGGGCGTTGGCTGCCAGGGCCGTTGCACATCGGGGTAAGTGTGCTGAGCGAGCCGCTGCCAAAAGCCGCCTGGTC